TCATTATCGCTATTATTATTGTTATTATTATTATTATTATTATTATTATTATTATTATCATTATCGCTATTATTATTGTTATTATTATTATTATTATTATTATTATTATTATAATTACAAAGTGGTAAATGCTTTACTGCTCCAATTTCTTTTGAAATGTGAACCAAAATTGGAATATGTGTGAAAGAAAACAAACAAACAATTAATGATTGTTGTATTGTTTGCAATGAAATACAAGTCAAGGTAAATGTGAAATCACCGTTTCATTTTTTAATTAGTGTTTTTCTTACTGTCCCAACTTTTTCTGACTTTAAGTTGTAGGTGCTGGGCAAAAATTTATCATGATTAATCGCATCCAAAATAAAAAAAAAAAATTCCCACATACATGTATATGTATGTCAAATCATAAAAATAATGGAAATGTTTATTTTTATTCCTTTACTTCATACATGAAGTCTGAGGTTGCGATGGTTGTGTCTGATATGCTCTCTTTGCAACCTGTGCATATAGCAGATCTCTTCTCTATTTGTGAATATGGTCAATTTCGAAGTGTTTAAAAAAAAGGTGATCTTGGGAGATTCTCCATTTGTCTGTATTTGGTGCACTGCAGTATTTGACTGCGCTTGTGCAGGGCAGATCAGTGGTGCTGAGCTTCTCTGCTTCTGCTTTGGCTATCAATTGTAATCATTTAACAAATAATAATAATAATTTAACATAATAGATATTAAAGTTAACAATTATGTAGTTATTTGTAGGTGCACATATAGTTTAAATATTTTGTGTATATTTTTGTAGTTCACAGATTCCATGTGGACCTACAAATAACTAAGTAAGACATTTGTGGGTCCACAATAAATAAATAAATTATATATATACTCACTGGCCACTTTATTAGATACACCTTACTAGTACCGGGTTGGACTCACTTTTGCCTTCAAAACATCTTGCAGATTTGTCAGGGGCACATCCATGATGCGAATCTCCTGTTCCATTACATATTCCCAAAGGTGCTCTATTAGATTGAGATCTGGTGACTGTGGAGGCCATTTGAGTACAGTTAACTCATTGTCATGTTCAAGAAACCAGTCTGAGATGATTGGCACTTTATGACATGGTGCGTTATCTTGCTGGAAGTAGCCATCAGAAGATGGAGACACTGTGCTCATAAAGGGATGGACATGGTCAGCAGCAATACTCAGGTAGGCTGTGGTGTTGACATGATGCTCAATTAGTACTAATGGACCCAAAGTGTGCCAAGAAAATCTCCCCCACACCATTACACCACCACCACCAGCCTGAACCACCAACCTGAACCGCTGATACAAGGCAGGATGGATCCATGCTTTCATGTTGTTGAGGCCAAATTCTGACCCGACCATCTGAATGTGTCAGCAGAAATGGAGACTCATCAGAGCAGCAACGTTTCTCCAATCTTCTATTGTCCAGTTTTGGTGAGTCTGTGTGAATTGTAGCCTCAGTTTCCTGTTCTTAGCTGACAGGAGCGGCACCCGGTGTGGTCTTCTGCTGCTGTAGCCCATCCGCCTCAAGGTTGGACGTGTTGTGTGTTCAGAGATGCTCTTCTGCAGAGCTCGGTTGTATCGAGTGCTTATTTGAGTTACTGTTGCCTTTCTATCAGCTGGAACCAGTCTGGCCATTCTCCTCTGACCTCTGGCCTCATCAACAAGGCATTTGTGCCCACAGAACTGCCGCTCACTGGATATTTCCTCTTTGTCAGAGCATTCTCTGTAAACCCTAGAGATGGTTGTGCGTGAAAATCCCAGTAGATCAGCAGTTTCTGAAATACTCAGAGCAGCCCGTCTGGCACAACAACCATGTCACGTGCAAAGTCACTTAAATCCTCTTTCTTCCCCATTCTGATGCTCGCTCTGAACTGCAGCAGATCGTCTTGACCATGTCTACATGCCTAAATACATTGAGCTGTGATTGGCTGATTAGATATTTACCATATCTAGCAGTTGAACAGGTTTACCTAATTAAGTAAATCACATTTTACATTTATTCTTTTTCAAATATTTCTCAAGTGATATTTTACAGATTAAAGACTTTTCCATAGTAGTTTTGATTATATATATATATATATAAAAGATAATCAATATCTTTTATGATTGTCTACAGAACAAGCACTGTAGACTTGCCTAATGTACCATAACATGCCTAATTAACCTAGTGAAGCCTTTAAATGTCACTTTAAGCTGAATACTTGTATCTTGAAGAACATTTCGTCTAATATTATGTGCTGTCATCATGGCAAAGAGAAAATAAATCATATATTACAAATGAGTTATTAAACTATTATGTTTAGATATATGCTCTATATAAACTTTTATTTTGGATTAATTGTGATTAATCATTGCCCAGCACTAGGTAATAATATAATAAATAATACCTTATATTGCATAGTGACTTATTAGCCTTCTCAGATTGAATCATATTTAAATAGCAACCGGTGACGCAGTGGCGCAGTAGGATGTGCTGTTACCCCACAGCAAGAAGGTCGCTGGGCCTCGGCTCAGTTGGCGTTTCTGTGTGGAGTTTGCATGTTCTCCCTGCCTTCGCGTGGGTTTCCTCTGGGTGCTCCGGTTTCCCCCACAGTCCAAAGACATGCGGTACAGGTGAATTGGGTAGGCTAAATTGTTTGGATGTTTCCCAGAGATGGGTTGCGGCTGTAAGGGCATCCGCTGCATAAAAATTTGCTGGATAAGTTGGGGGTTCATTCCTCTGTGGCGACCCCGGATTAATAAATGGACTAAGCCGACAAGAAAATGAATGAATGAATGAATGAATAAATAGCAACCTCATGCCGAACGAGATTTAAAATGCGCTGTCTGTGTAATATCTAGAACAGTGGTGCATGAAAAGCGTCTGCGCTCCATCAAGAGCATGTGTCAGAAATGCATTATCCGCCGGCCGATTGCAAAAAGTTTCTCATCCCGCGCTGCACCTGATGCTCAGCCCGTTCATTCACAGGACATCAGATGAAGCCGGAAAAAAAGAGAGCTGATGTGGACTCAATAAGCAATAATCTCTTCACTTCAGCTGGCTTAAAGAGCCGCCGTGAATGAGCTGCCAAAGGAGATCCAGCTGCTTCTGCTTCATCTTCCTCTTTCCTGTCCTGTCAGCATCACTTTTTTCCAGGACTTCATTTCATTTGCGTTTAATCGGCGATTAACGAGGTGCTTGTATTGTGGCAATGACAGGTCAATCCTGTGATCCCATTACACAAAACAAAACCCGTCACTTTCCTGGGGTCCCTTCTGTATTATGCAAAATTCACTGTTTAAACACAGTTGCATGGAAACAGTGTGTGAATATCTCCAGCCTCTAATGGTAAACGTGCATTAATTGTATTGTCTATAACCACACTTGATAATAACTCTTTGATTGACATTCACCCTTTGTACGTGCCACAGAGCCCCGCCCACTAGTGACCATCCCCCCTCATTAGCATAAACATCCCTGAGTGAGAAGCAGCCGTCTGTCCATTCGCCATTAGAGTGTTTGAGCTGCTGAAGATAATGTCAGCATAGACTCAGAGGATTATAGATGTGGAGACACATAGACTGACAGAATAAAGCAGCATGGTTGACCCGTGAGGTCCTATTAATATTATTATAACATCTAGATATGTTTATAAGATAAATTTGTCTATGGGCAACTATGCACTGTCGCTTCACTGCAAGAAGATCGCTGGTTCGAGTCCTGGCTGGGCCAGTTGTTATTTCTGTGTGGAGTTTGCATGTTCTGCTAAACAGTGAACTTTCTTCCAGACTTTTCAGATCATCACTGCTGCTCTTGTTTACTCTAGGCTTCCTGTTGTTTCATGATGGCGAACAAAAACAAAGAAAAAAAAGGGGGATTTTCTTCAAATATACGCCGCAGCATGTTTTTGATCTAGTCTCATCATTTAAACAGCAGCTCTACAGTGAACGTGTTATTTGCCGGATTACTCGCAGAGCACATCGGCGCATTAATAAACAACAGCGAAAGGATAAAAAAAAGACTTACCGAAGACGGTGCGCGCCGGCACAGACTCGCGGTTCAGCCAGAAGGAGACCTGAGATAATATGACGGTCATTATGCAGGGCAGATACGTCTGGATCACGAAATAGCCAATTTTCCTTTTCAAATGGAAATATGTTGTCATCACCACATATTCTCCTATATGAGGGACGAGAGGGAGAGAAGAGAGATGCATTATTGATGAGACAACACATACAAAAGAAAGTTGTGAAAAGAGGAAAAAATGACAACAGCCAATCAGAGTAAGAATATCTGCACATGTTTTGACTCATTCACAGTGTTTTAAAGTGCACCTACTATTCAAAAATCACATTTATAAGGGGCTTAAACCCAGTTGTGTGTCAGCAGTGTGAACATATCCAGCTTCTAATGGTTAAAATTAATAATACATTTTTTTTAAATCACATTTGATATAAACAGTCTGCAGAAACACTTTGATTGACATTCTCTCGTTGTACGTGTCATCAGAGGGGGGAAAGCCCCGCCCACTAGTGCTCATCTCACCTTAGCATAAACCATATTAGCCAAATCATATAATGCACAATTAAAAATAAATACAAAACTACACTTTTACAGTGATTCCCTACAAAACCATTCAGTCAAAATGTTCATAAAACAGCCTTTTTGGGGATTGAATAACATTCTAAAAATTTAAACCATCAGTTACATTAATTTAAAACAATAGTACCAATCAATAACGATTAATGGCCAATTAAAGCTGAAAAAAAAAAAACCTTACAGAAGGAACATATACTATGGCAGTCAATGGGTACAGGTTTCGAGCTTTCTTTAAAATGTTCTTTAAAAGAAAAAATAAGCTCATAAAGGTTTAAAACAAGTAAAGTGTGAGCGAATGATGACAGGTATTATTTTTGTATGAACTATTCCTTTAAGAGTGCATTTGTTAAAAAATTACAGGTTTTCACATTATTAAAAAAATAAGTTTCACAAAATAATAAATAGTATATTATCAATTTAGAAGATTTACTGTAATACATTTTTTCTACAATCCAAACTTCATTTGCCAACGAACGAATGAATGAACGAGCAAACAAACAAACAAACGAACAAACAAACAAACAACTAAATAAATCAAAGAAATCAGCCAGCCAACCAAACAAACTAGTAATTAAATAAACAACCAGCCAACAAAACAACAAACCAACCAACCAACAAACCAACAAACCAAAGGCCCAAGCAAACAACCAACCAACAAAACAAATCATTCAACCAACCAACCAACCAACCAACCAACCAAACAATCAAGCAAGCAACCAGCCAGCCAACCAACCAACCAACCAACCAACCAACCAACCAACCAACCAACCAACCAACCAACCAACCAAATCAACCAACCAACCAAATTAACCAA